AACGGTAAGCACCCAGCAACTCAATTAGCAGTCGTTGCCATCGCCGTCTTCTTCATAGTCGGTAGGCATAAATTTTGTGCGCAATTAAATTAAAATTTAATTTCATGTAGAGCGTGCGCCCATCGCAAATGCGTTCACGCACTGAAAGATACACGAGGGCTCTATACTTTGCCAAGAGAGAAGCATATATTTTGTTAGCTGCACGAACTTGAAATACTCTAGACATCCTTTCGAGAGCGTCTTTTAAGATATGTGAAGATATAAGGCCGGTATGATCTTTTACTCTAAGTAGTAAATTGAAAGAAATGTTTACAGATGTATATAGAAAACATTGTTATTATCCTTAAAACTTGTCAGCCACAATGTTTTGCATACATTTCTTGAGAGAATATAACAATATCTTATATTTCAATATCCATTTTAAACGAGAAAACTACAGATCTAATGTTCAATAGATTATTACAATTGCTAACATATTTAGATTTCTAAATGAAAGTTAGATTTTAATTTAAATTTATTTTGTTCTTTAATAAATTACAAACTATTATCAGGAAATAATAAAGAAATATCGGGTTCTTCAATCCTGCATATCCTTTGAATATATTTGAACCACGACCGTGCTTTTGTAGCTTAAAGAATAAGTTTCTACAACAGCTATTCGTATTATCTTTAGGATTGACACTTAAAAAAACAAATTGAATTTCAAGATTCATGCTTACAAAGCAAACCAAGATTAAAATTCAGCAAACATTTATTGGTAATCAAAATTCAAATTGAAATTATTTTTTTATATTTATATGATTTTTATGTACATTTGAATCAAATTGATTGTGGCGCTATGCCCGTTTGGGTAGGGTATTCAAAACACCTACTTATAGAAAACATTTATCGCGTATGCATGACATCGACATCAGATTAGCATCACAAACACCACATAAACGTAAAAGTAACACACACGCACATACACACTCACACACTTATCCGAGCAATGGCATAAATATGTATGTATACTCGTATACGCAAGTATATGCGGGGCACAGACAAGCTGGAGACGGACAGCCGGACGGGTGAAGGGGACAGAGATAGAGACGGAGGCGAGCAAATACTAAAACTATGTAAACAGTAAATAAACGCCAAGCGAACTGTCAGGCCAGTCCAGCCAGTCGAAGAAGCGGAGGAGCGAACGAGCCGGCGACAGCTTCGTCGTGGCATACTTAAGCAACATTAAGAGCAACGACCACGGATAGCACCAAAAATGCCACAGGAAGATAAAGAGATACAAAGATACATACATTACATGCACTACGGCTATAGATACATTCCATGAATCTCTGTCCACCACTCCGCCACGTTGCTCTGCTTTACTTTTAATGCCGCTTTATTGAGCTTCAGAGCTCTCTTTATAACCGTAACAAGGGTAACTGGGGCTGCTGCTGTCAAATGCGCACAGATTAATGATCGATTTGGCATGGCCAGCCGCTGGCTTTACACACATACTTGTACAAAAACGGGCTCACACAGCCACACACATGACAGTTGCAGATACCGGCCATGTGCGCTGCATTAGCCAAATTAAAATTCCACAAAGACTGGATAGATGACTGTTGTATGGGAGTATCTGTATCGGTGTACCCGTACAGACGGGTACATACATAGTATGTAAAGTGCAAATACTATAGCTTCAGTCAAAGTCAGGGCTCAGTATGCAGTTAAATCTGAAAAACAAACGCACATCTGCACACATTCTCGATAAAGGTAGGTCCGTACCGAAACATTTTGAAATATATTTTATTTTCAGATTTAAATATTATGTGATATTTTCCGTTCGGAACATTAAAAAATAGTTGCAATTACTATATAGTTATGTTAAAATATGTGTGTCACCTATTTTATACAAAAATATCTTTTTTCTCAAAGAAAATGTTTGAAGGCCAACAATTTATATTTGAAATATCATTTTTTTTGGCATCTTTAAAGTAAGCTTTAGGCTGTTGTTGGGCAATTAACATGGAACTGTGTTTAATTAGCAATTATTTACCTTTGCGATATACATAAGTAATTGATTGCCTTTGCCACAAAGTTTCCCAATTATTAATCGACAGTTTTCTATTTACATATCTACATAAAATAAAAGCCAAAAACAATTGAAACAGCTGAAGGTGAACATTGAACGTGCCAGGCTTTTCACAATTGGAGCAAACCCATACATACTAAATATGTATAGGCAATAATAGAATATTCAGATACAAAACCTGAACATTGTGCGGATTCAGTTCATTTGGCGTTGAGCTCTTCCACTGAATTCGCACAAGAAATAAACATTCTTATTGGACCCAGTCCTTGTTTGTCAGTATTTATGGTTGGTATTTCAACTTTATGGTATAGTTTATGAAGCATGAAAAAATATTTCATCAAATTCTTCTGCTCGTCCGAACTTACTACATCTACAAACATACATAAATATGTATCTATAGTAGATACTTGTTCCTCTGCTCATACATAAATATAAATCTGTAGCGAAACTCACTTGTAACATTCAGTTGGTGTTGCTGCTGCTACTTTGCTTTCAAGTCGCGTCGCATTGGGTGTGAAGACGGCACTCACTGCCACTCGCTGTTCGCAGTTGGCTGCTGGCTGCTGGCGGCTGGCGGCTGCGATGCGGGCGTCTCATGCCACACGGCAACAAACAATGTATCCTACAGATACTTCTTTAGTTTGCACCACGCTTGTGTGTTTACGCTGCTAACTACCTGACCGTTTTGGGTTTTTCTTCAGCACTCGCTAGTGCTGCCTACGTATGTACGTGTATGTGTGTGAAAAATGTTCTTTGAAGTCGTTCAGGTATCTGCAGAAACTTGCACAATCATGGCGAGCCGCAGCGCAGACCCTAGAAACCATAGCCCATGTCCATGCCCAAGTCTGTCTGTGTACTTGTACACTACTCGTATGTATCTGTTTCTTTCTAACGCTGTAATTGTGCGTAAACGTGTAAATACCAAGTCAAGGTCGGTTAATCAATAACAATTATTTTTCACTCAATTACGCACAGTGCACAGTGCTGGGGAATCTGTTGGAAAGTTTTTTAGTTAAGCAACAAACTCATTGAAACTCATTTCAAAAAGTTACTAGAGTTGGCAATTGTTTCATAATTATTCACGTACTTTCCTTTACAATGAGTTGCAATTACAATTGCCTAATGGTCATGCCACAAGTTTGCTCTTTGCATGAGTGCATGAATGCTTTAAAGTTGAGATTCGTTGGAGCGCAGAATGGTGTAAATAAATTGGGGAATCGATTCGCGTGTATGTACAAGTAGTATGCCCAAAGCATAGTGGAGTTGTTTGGGAAACAATAATTTGTATTACAACTGAACTACATAGTATAAATGTAACTTTTCACTGTTGCTATTGGTGTGTAAGTTTATAAAACCTCAGAAGGAAGGATGGTTGATAACAGTGTGGAAGCAAATACTTGTATGTCAATCACTACTATTCCTCCAACAGTTCTAGAGCTATAGCGTTGATAATACTTAAGATCGATTCTGTCAGATCACAGCTCTCATATGTACACATGCTATGAAGTATAGAAAGAGTTTTTGCATGAAAGAGCTTCTATGGGATAAGGGAATAAAATTGAATGACCACGGTTGGGTAAAAATTCCTTTTAATGTAAAATAGAGAGCACAAAATACAAGTATAATTCGCCACTGTTGACCTAGAGGACTTAAGCTATTCTTGTATGCAGTGTAGAGCAGACTAAAATAAAATTAAAATTGCTTATGGATAAATATTAAAAATATTGTAAACAGAGCCACAGAAAAAAAATTAAAAATTGCGTCCATTGTATGCTATATGCATGTGAATGTATTTATAAAATGCTCGGCTATTTGTTCGCTTCTTTTGTTAATCGAGACGCTGTGATATATTCATTTGTTTAAACGAATTGGACGATATTTATGCGTGAAATATGCAAACATAAACAAAATATGACAAGGCGGATCACATTTAAGCCATTGACATATGTGTGTGCATAATTGTATGTCCATATGTTTGCGTTTCTGTCTCAAACTTAGCCTTCACACAATTAGATGTTTGCGTTCGATATGACCAAAAAAAATTGTAACGTAACAAATGATCTAGCCCGGAGATACGGATATAACAGATGTAATGACGTGGGCGCTGTGCACAATTCAAAAAGTTTTCTATGGAAACAACTTTTTTGTATCGTTTTTTTTTTTTTTTTTTTTTTATTTGTTTGTGGCAAGTGCAACGCCGTGACTTTTAAGCATTGCTCAATGCACTTCTAATTGCGTCCAACACTTGTCGCGGCTCCCTCTACAGTTTCCCGTCAAGTTGAAGTGCCTGCAGAGGCTGGGGCTAAGGCAGAGCCAGAGGTGGCCTAGTACTTGAGTTCTTGGCCTTTGCGCAAAGCATTTCAAAGTCAATTCATTGAATTTCCATATCTATTTGGCGCCAAGCAGCCCCAAGAGCCACCCACACAGATATAGGAAAAAGTTTCTATGAAAGAAGCGTAGGAATAAAAAGTAAAATAAAATGATGCCCAGCAGAATGCGCCAACTTTTTGCTTGCGCTCTATTTGCGCTTCAAGTGATTTACTTGATTTAAACACCAATTGCGGGCCAACTTTGCGGTTGCTATCAATATACGAGTAAAAGCTGTGTTGTTTTTATTCATTTGCACCACTTACAGTACAGCTGCGGAGGTTTTTAATTAATTATTCAATGCATGCTATACGTATGTATTAGGATTAGTTAATAAATCATTATGAAATTCATAAAGGTCCATAGCTCCAAATGATTAGACAAATAGTGACTGATCAGATATTTATCTCTATTTTCCTCTTTTCTAAGAAGTTGACAGCAATTTATGTTTTAGCCATAGATTGCACATTTATTTAAATTAACGCAGCACTAAAGAATTCCTGATATATGAACACACTATAATAACTATGTAGATTGATGTCGTGGACGGTTAACTTACCTTTTTCTCCGCTTGGTCCATTCATCTTTATGTCGATCGATTCGAAGTAACCCTTGACAGAGTCACAGTGCTGCGCAGTATCCTTGGTGCGTGAGTCGCGCTGCAGGCGTCGTCGATGATGCGTAACAGCGCTGTGTTGATGAGCGTGCTGGTGGTGAAGAAACTCCTGCTCCTGCTGGTGGTGGCGGTGGCTGCCCGCAAGTGAACCACCACCCGCCACATCTCCATCGAGACCGGCCAAGTGCTTCGCTGTGGCCAGTCCTATGCTGCAGAGCAGTGCAAATAGCAGAAATGCTCGCAAATTTGTATGGTGGTGATGAACTCCACTTCCAGCCGCCGCCGACATTTTTGCAACGTTTTTACGGGACATGTTATTAAAAACTCTTGTACAAAAAATAATTACAGACAAACACACTTTATTAAGTTGAAGAGCGCGCTCTCTTTCGCCCTATCTTGCTTATCTCTCTCTTTCTATCTTGCAGACACTTTTGAAGCTTTTGAATTTATTTGGTATTTAGATTGAGATGTGCACACGCGTCAGCATTTGAAGCCAGGCGGTCGCCGCTGCAATATGCAGTTAGCATCAATGGACAATAGCTAGAGCTAGAGCTAGGGCTAGGGCTAGGGTTAGATTAAAGCAACAACAGCTGTTATTTTACACACTCGGAAATTTCACTTGCCAATTCGGTTGTGGCAGGTTTTTCACGACGCGACAATTTGCCGGTTTATTTTTTTCTTAGCCAAAACAAAAGCCAAACAACACGCGCGAGAGAGTTTTGTTGCTGTTTGTTGCTCACACGCACACACACAGACACACAGGCACAGACACAGCTACAGCCAGAGGAACTCGCGTGCAACCACCCACCAATATACACACACAAACACACGCAAGTTAGACGCAGTAGCGCCGCTGTCGCTGTCGCTGTCGCCGTTGACGCTGACGCTGACGTCGACCTGAGGCTTTTTGCAAAATGTGCGAAATGCGAGTGATTTTGTTGGTGTTGTTGTTAGGTAGTATTGTTATTGTTGTTGTTGTTGTTGTTGGTGGTGTTAACACACACAGGCGCAAGTGTTTAGATAATTTTTGGTCGACTTGCTGTTTGCTCGAATCGCGCGATTTCTGCGTTTGATTTAGCTAATTAAATGCTGAGATTTTCCTTGCCGACTTGCTACAGATTTTTCAATTGGCGCATGAGTTTTTCCATGCCCCCTTTTTCCTCGTTACTTGACGGTCGACCCGCGAATTTGTGACATAATCAGTTGTAGTTAAGTTTCCGCATTTGCTTTGCAATTCACGCTATTGCTGTTGCTGAGACTCAAGTGCCACTATTATAGCGCCATATAGATTTAAGTATGCCACTAGAGAACGATGGCGATTATTATTATTTTCATTTCATGTGCGTTGGCATGCGTACTATAATTATTGAAGATGCCGCTTCTCAGACTGTTATTGCTTCTTGCTTCGATTATTATCGCCTATACTAGATTTCAATGTGCCATGAGACTTTGCAACTGCACACGCGATTATTTGTTGTTGTCACAACTACTTTGTAGTTGTAGATCGGCTAAAATATAACTGCTTGTATTACGTATTTGTCGTTTACGTTTTTGGCTCTAACGCGGCGTATTCTGTTCTAGCGCTCACTGACGACACATTCACGCTGCGAGGAGGTTTGCACGCGACGACGTCTCGTTCACAACTGAACCAACTGACAACTGTTTAGGCTGCCGGTCGCTGCGCTGAGCGCTCACCACTCGCTGAGAGTCGCTGGCGGAGGTCGTGCACGAGCACGAACACATGAAGCGAACAGATGATGCAGAGACCGTGGTACAAGATGGCTTCAAAATGTTTTCAACAAATGCATGCGGCGTTTTGTGTTCAGTTTTGTTGCAATAAGCCATTGGACTTTGTGTTAATGTGTTAATGAGCAATATCCAGAAAGTAGATTCTACCAATTTCTTTGTTTTTATTGTTTTATTTTTATTTTAAAGGCCAGTTGGAAATTATTTATTTATTTATGTTAACAAACGTTGACTGTCGGCATAGGAAATAGTACATAAAAATAATAAAAAGCATCTTTATAAGAAAAAAGAAAAGCCTAAGAAGGAGAAATCTAATCAAATTACAATAATATCTAATTAACGCCTCCGGTGGGGGAATATTATTTGCCCTTCGACTAGCTATGCCCCGTCTCACAGCCATGTGTGGTCAGAGGCGACAATAGATGTACCGATAAAAAAAGAAAAAATTTAAACCTTTATTACAACACCCAAACAAACTGGAAGAAAGGATATACAAAATTACACGATTCTGAACAGTTACGTGAATACAAGTAAACCTTTGTTACAACTCCTTAATTTACTAATAGAAAATCTGTACAGAATTTTTGTAAATGTTGTTCGAATTATTCTCAATTGTTCTATACATTTATCGCACTTATAATATTTTATTTTAGAATGATATGTATGTAGCAAAAGGTAAATGTAATAAAAAATTAATCTATATTATAGTAATTAAGTTGATGCAGATAAAAACCTCTTTCTCTCAAACAACGATTCTGTTTTCCTTATTGGCATAATTGAATTATTTTCTTAATACTGTAAATGTATAAGGCTTTTACCCTAATTTGAGATTATCTGACGTAATTTTTTGAGACTTGTTAGCATTGGAAATTGCTAATAAGTACAATATGACAATTTGTAATAAAATAACAAGAAAGGAATGCTAAAGTCGAGCAGGCTCAACTCTTAAATACCCTGTACCACCCCACAAAAAAGTAATTAAATTAATTAATTAATTTAATTACATTAATTAACTAAATTAATTTAATTAATTAACTAAATATTAACTAATTAAATATAAAATATTCCATGCATGCATACATACATTTACAATTACATCAGAATCGTGTCTATGCGTGTTTGTGTACTTGTACATATGTATGTATGTGTGCATTGAGCCTGGTTATATGGCTATAACTTTCTTTCCGATCATTCTATCATAATGAGACTTGGTATACGGTTATATAATTACTAACCTAATGTGACTACCAAATTTTAGTTCAAAATTCCAAGAATTACGGGAGTTATAGAAAATCGTTAATAGGGGGGGAGTGGGGGGGTGGATCAGAAAAAATGAACAAACTCGTCCTTTCTCGGTCTCAGGAGAATCTGTATACCAAGTTTGGTTATTCTAGCTCTTATACTTTCGGAGATCCTTGCGTTCATACAGACAGACAGACGGACAGACGGACAGACAGACGGACAGACGGACATGGCTATATCGACTCGGCTTGTCATGCTGATCAAGAATATATATACTTTGTGGGGTCTACCAAGCCTCCTTCTGTGTGTTCCATGTGCACTCGCACTAAACTAATATACCCTTGTACCCTTTGGGTACAGGGTATAAAAAAGGTTTATTTTTTTTTTTGGGTTAAATTTAGATCATTTTTCATCATAGCTACGCATTTTTAACCGCTTGCAATGCTATATAATTTAAATTCCAACCCAATATCCGTTTTATCAGATGTTTTCATTTTATTAATTCGATTTAAATATTTGACACAAATATTTGATTCGTTTTACGATGGTTTTTTATGACTTCAATATGTCTACATATCGTATAGTCGTATAACTAAACTTTTACGACTGATTTTATTAAAATACCATTAGCTTCTTTTATTGGTTTGATGGTCAGCTTGTGTAGGTTCTCAGATCTTCTGTCTAAACTAAAGTGTTGATGGTACACATATTTGTTAAACACGTTAGATGCATTAGTGGGACAACAATATGAAGGCATAACCATGACAAAGTTGTGCAATTGTTGGCGAAGCTTCATTCTTGCAAATATCTTTTAAATAAGACACTAGGGCCGTCTTACCATCAACACAGAGCACACAGCACACAGCACGTGTGATTTGCAATATTGAAATGCTTGGCTGGTTCCTTGGCCTGCCTGAGAGCAGAAGACAAAAGACAATGCACGACTTTTTGCAAGACTTTCACTCTGGATCTGTGTAACACCGCACAGTCATAGTCATAGTCACCGTCACTATTACCATCACCATCACCATCAGCATGGGCACTGGCCTCGATGTTAAATACTCGTAAATCTATCTATCCAGCTATGAGACACCGACTGACGTCTGTTGTCTGCCGTCTGTCGTCTGCCACAAACAAACATTCAACATCAACGCCGGCGCAACAACTATGCCACAACACAACACGGACTCGGAATCGGTCTCGAACTGGACTGGACTCGACTTGACTCAACTCGACTCGACTGGTCGTATCTATTTCTTCATTAACAAGAAAACTTCATGGTGGTCAGTGCGGACGTCCAGCTGAGCGGCAAAAAGCAGCAACGCCCTCGCTCGCCAATGCCCATGCCCTCATTGGCCTTGTTATTGCCGGCAATAGGCAATAGGCACTAGCAAGTGATATGTTCATTTTCCCAAAATGTTTGCGCACCGCTGGAAGATTCACGATCTGAAAACTGAACTATTCAAATTAACGTGCGATAAAATGGAGCAGAGAACGAGCTCTACAGATCACTTCTGGCTCAAGCAATACAGTAGACATTAAAAAAATAAATGAGGATCACAAAAAGTGTTGGGCAATGAGTCACAAGCGGCGGCAACACACAAAACGGAAACTGATGTTGCTGCCAATGTTGTTGTTGACGAGAAACGAATGGGTCCGAAAAAAAAAACACAAGATTGAAAAGGTGAAGTCGAAAATTAAACACCACCACATCGTTTAGATAAAGTTATAAATTATAATGTACGGCGATGAACGCGCAACATATTCAATACGAATGCGGCCAACAGAAAACTAAACAAAAAGAGTGCACAAGTAGGAAGGAATAGAAGGGAAATGAAGAGGAAGAAAGGCAAAGGAAGCGATGAAACCCTTTCGATGATCAGCGGGCACACAAAAAGGAATGCCAATGCCGGAGATGCTGCAAACCCACACACAAAGCCAGCCAGCAAAATGAACAGGTAAGACCCAATAGGTGTGTGTGTGTGTGTGTGTGTGTGTGCTGGCTAGTCATTTAAAGCGTGAGGAGCAAAAACATGAAATTAAACGAATTTAGGCAAACGGCATCTATAAATTATGCTGCCTCGCATAGCTTTTTGATCAGTTAGCAATATGAGCAGGCCAAGTGAAACTCACGGCGTTTTGAAGTTTTTGTTTTGGGCAACTCAAATTTCATTTAAACGCTTGATTTACTGCCGCAGCAAATATGGCCAAAGTCATAAGTATGTATGTTTGCACTCACATATATGTATGTGCATATATACTATGTTGAAATGTGTTTGTGTATGTGTGAGCACGCATTCCACAAGCGACAGCGTTTTACACTTGAAAACCTCACGAACACACAATCACACACAGACACACACACACACACAGACACACACATACACACATGGAGAGTGTGGCCCGTCTTTATCCTGCCGTGGCACAAACACGTTGGTGGCATTTTATGTGCTCCACCAAAGAGCCAACTCAATGGCGCTGCAACGTAAGCTGGTCCAACAGGTTCCAAGCTGACTGGCATGGATTCTGCCGCCGCCGCCGTCGTCGTCGTTGCCACTGCCAATGCTGCTGCTGCCCCTGTTGCTGCCACTGCCGCTGCCTCAGAAGTAGCAAAAGGGTATGCGCGGCCGCGTTCTTTGCGACCAGGATGATACAGCAATACCGACAGATGAAGTCCAGCTCTTGTTTTGATTATTTTTTGTTGTCCACATTCAAAAAAAAAAACAATTTCTAGATTTTATAAAAGCCCCCTAAAACCATAAAAGTTTTAATTAGAGAAAGAATGTATGGATTTATCTAAATATATGGCAAAATTTTAGATTAAAACCGAAATTACAAAAAAGATTTTGAAACTACTTAACCAATTATATGTAAAATAAAGGATTGATTAAAAAATACTCTAGAATAGTTGTACTGCAAGAAATTCAATATTTTTCGACTTTGAAAAGGAACAGATGGCGCGATTCAAATCTACAATGGAATGCTTGGTTTATTCCAAGTCAGAGATATAAAAACTAAGTAACAGAATAAAAATCTAAACAATTTTCTGTAACCACGATACAAACTACAAAATGCTAAAAGAAATTGTGGTCTATTCCAAAGCAAAGATTAAAAATTAAATTAAAATTAAACAAATTTTTAATTAATTAAAAGTCAAAGTCATAGTTGTTGCTTTTCCTTCATCACAACATTATAAGAATATACTGTTACTTTTACAATTTTTGCTTACATTTTTAATTTGATATTTTTTTTTGATATGAAATTAAAGGCAATTAAATTAACTTTTTTGAAAGGTCGAATATCACCGAAACATAAAGTGCATCTTTTTAAAAAATAAAAAACAAAAAAAAGAAAGTTTGCCGTACCAATTAATTATGGTTAGCTCTGCTATGTTTGGACTATGTCCAGTTTGCTTTGTTGTTAGCTGGATTTAATGTCATTCTGACACATCTCTAAATTTATAATCGAACAGTATTTAGACATGTTTCATTAGAGTATTTAAAGGAAAAAATAATACAGAATCTGAATTGTTTTAATTAGGATTTATCCACGATAGTGTTTTCTACAGCATGTCAAAAAATGTATAGCAGAAAGTTAAAGTTAAAGAGCACATAGAACAGAGT